CGAGCACCGAGCTGATCGCGACACAACTCAGTTTTGACTAGTTTTGCTTACAATCTATAAGTCACATATGAAATGACTAGTTTTGCTTGCAATCTAGAAATCCATTGAATAATATCAAAAGCAAACTCAAATAACCAAAACACAGAGATTGAAGCAAATCTTTTTACTTGGATTAATAAACTGAAAAACTTTACATACCATAAGATCAAGATGCAAAAGCAAAAGTTGTATCTACAGAGGCCGAGCGAATTTTAAAAGGACAAAAACCAAACAAAAAAAAAAAGAATTTTGCTTCACCAAAAAAGCTCAATAAAAAAAAAATGAGTTCAGAGATTTAGAAATGAAATAAACAAAAAACCATAACGAAAGAACAACGTTCAACAGTACAATGTCTTGCTGCTTGTTTTGATTTTCAGGTATCTTCAACCTGAGAATGGAAAACAAAGCTTGGAAACGTAGTCGTGATATCCCTGCAATAAGCACACCATCAAGATCACGACCTTTATTACATATCATTGAGAATAAGAAGAAAAAGAAACCAGAGAAGGAATTTGGTTGAATAGATTCAATCCTGGTTACATAAATAGAAAGATTTGGAACTCACTTGAGATACTGAAGAGTCATGTTCTTCAGAAGGCTGAGGTGTCTAAGAACAAGGCTTCTCCACTCTTCCTTATCGATCTTTCCATCGTGTTTTGTGTCTGCTTCCTCAAACGTCTGAACAATCAAAACTCGGGAATTACTTTCAAAGAAAAATATTGGGCGGAGAGGAAATAGTAACTAACTTACCTTGTCGATTATATCCTCAATGACAGTATCCTTCAAATTCATTCCCGATTCAGCAAGCGTAGCGACAACCATTTGTTTCACCTGGACAAATGGTTGACGAGAATGTCTGTGAGGATGATAAAGCGCACTTCTAGAAAGTTATATATGAAGCTATTTGAAGATATGGAAGATTTACCTCTTGCCGTTCGATGAACCCTTGCTGTTTAAGATCATATAGCTGAAATGAAACTGCAAAAAAATAGTATATATCATCATTAATGTGCTATCCCAATCTTGTTTTTGAGATACAAGTTAATAGGGACATACAGTGGATTTTGTCATCTATAGGTGCATTTGGGTGAAACACGGAGAGAGCACGGGCAAACTCCTCAAACCCGAGTATTCCATTGTGTTTTGTATCAAAGAAATCGAAAACCTAGAAACCAAATCACATATATCAGCATTTCTTCTAAACTTGATCTTGACAAAAATGGGACTTATAATGTGAAGAAAGAAATATTACCCGATCTGCAAACAAGCTCTCTTTTTTATTCGTCTTAAACAAAGCCAACTGAAACTCTTCCTGATACAAACAAGAGATGAGTAAATTAGACAGATTATGAGATCACTCAAGCTGTTTACCTAATGAAGAAGATCACACAAGCTAGATAGCTTTACCTTGTTTATAAGCCCATCATCAATCACGGCAATGCTGATTTTCTAAGGTGTGAAACAGTGTCTCTTGCAAGCAATTCAGGATCTCCAAGACCACCGGATTGTTTATACAAATCAAGATCAAAACACCCTAAAACCGAGGTGCATAAATGCTTGAAACCGTCAACGCACTGCGACATGATATAACGATCTTAAGAAGCAAATTAAAACTCTCCATGCCTGCAAATAAAATTTAATCAAACAGTGAGCATTTTTTTGCCACAAGTAAAAAAAACACCTCTCTATAGAAGCAGTGAGCATATCAACACTGCAATAAAAAAAACTACCTTAATGAACTCACAATGGAAGGATTTGGTAATTAAGCTAACATATAGATTATTACAGGTGTTAGAGAAACAAAGACCGACCAAGATCCCCAAAAATCGTCCGAATGGATTCATGAATCGCAGATTCAACAGAGGCCTTTGGTGGTGTGGAGAGCGATTGAGGACTCCGTAGGCAGGCCAGGAGAGTTGTAGTACCTAAGCATCATCTGTAT